ATTTTTTCCCCATTCTTCTGCCCTCCCTTCAACCCCTCCACCTCTCCCTATTTAAAAAAAGCTTTGTTTCCATTTTCTCATATTAATCCCATTCCCTTCTTTCCTTTCCCCAATCCCTCCCACTTCCCCTTTGGATCTTTTCTTCCTATTTCACATTATCTATTATGCCTTTTGATCCTTTTTTACACTTTCAGTTTCCCACACCAGAGGAAACTATTCAGTATTTGCACATGTGTGTCCTATTTATTTCACTTAAGAGTATTACCTCAAGGGCTGGGGATTTAGCTCAGTGGTTTTGCTGCCTGCTGCACAAGCGCAAGGACCCAAGTTCAATCCCTGGTACCAAAAAAAAAGAAAATTCTAAAGAGTGTCACCTCAATGTGCATCCATTTAGCTATAAATGTCTCTAATTTCTCATTCTTTAATGAATCTTTTTTTTTTTTTTTGGTACCAGAGATCGAACTCAGGTCCTTGTACTTGTGCAGCAGGCAGTGAAACCACTGAGCTAAATCCCCAGCCCTTAATTTCTCATTCTTTATGGCTGAGTAGTTCTCTATTTATAAAAACACACACATTTTCTTTATCCAGTTTCCAGGTGATGGGCATTTGGGCTGTTTCCAAGTTTTAGCTGTTACAAACTGTGCCACTATAAACATGGGTACACATATATCTCTGTGGTATGATTCTTTTAATTCTTTTGGGAAGATCCCCAGCAGGGGAATAGGTGGGTCAAATGGGACCTCTAGTCCTAGTTCTTTGAGGAATCTCCATACTGACTTCCACAGTGGTTGCATCAGTCCACACTCCCACCAACAATGGAGAAGGATTCCTTTTTCCCCCACAGCCCGGCCAGCATTTGTTATTCGTTGATTTCATGATAGCAGCCATTCTCTCAGTGTAAAACATCCTTTTTTCAATGTTTGTTATTGTAACATTTTTTTAAAAGAGGGCAAGAGGACTGTGGACTGCAGACTGGACATGTCTGCCCTGGACTGATGGACCTAACACACATCTGCACAACATTCCTATCAACAACTGCAGAATGTACATTCTCATCAGCACATGGGACATTCTTCAGGATATGACAGGCCACAAAACAAACCTCAACAAATTTTTTACACTTGATCTTAGCCAAAAGGCCAAGAAGCATTTCAACAAATTTTTAAAATTTGAAATCATATCAAGTATCTTTTCCAACATCTCAATAAAGCTATAAATTAATAAGATGACGACTTTGGAAACTGAACAAATACATATAAATTAAACAATATTTATCTGTATATCCCATAGACAGTAAAAATATTGAGATGAAAATTTTAAAATGTCTGGAAACAAATGTTAATGGAAACCAACATACCAAAACCTATGAGACACAAAAAAGCAGTATTAAGAAGAAAGTGTGCAGCAATCAATGCCTACAGCAGAAAAGAGAAAGATCTCAACTAGACAATCATATCATTACACCTCAAGGAACTACAAAAACAAGAACAACCCAAACCCATTATAGGGGGAAGGAAATGATAAAGATCAGAGCAGAAATAAATGAGACCCGAAAAATCAACAAAATGAAGAGCTGATCTTTCAAAAAGATAAAATTAACAAATGCCTAGCTAGACTAAAAAAGAGAATACACAAAAGCAGAAACAGAAAGGAAATACGACTGACATCACAGAAATACAAAGGATCATTAGAGAGTATTATGAATAACCACATGGCTTTTAATAACCTAAAAGAAATGGACAAGGTCTTAGACACATACAACTTACCAAAACTGAATCATCCAGAAATAGCAAACCAGAACAGATCAATAATTAATGAGATTGATTCAATAATAAAAAGCCTCTCATGAAAGAAAATCCAGGAACAGATAGTACAAAATCAACATACAGAAATCAACAGCGCTTCTATTTGCCAATGGTGTTTTCTGAATAAGATATCAAGAAAGCAATCCTATTTACAGTAGCTACCAAGAAAACAAAAATACCCTTAGGAATAAATTTAACCAAAGAGGAGAGAGAGAGAGAGAGATTTTGAGAGAGAAATTGATTCTGAGTTCTAGGGTTGAGAGAATCAGCATTATTTAAATATCCACACTACCTAAAGTGATCTACAGATTCAAAGCAATCCTTATCAAAATACCAAGACATTCTTCGCAGAGCTAGAATAAATCCTAAAACTCATATGGAATCACACATGCACACGCACACATGCACATGTGCACATACACACAATACAAATAGTCAATGCAAATGTTTTTTTTAATAAAGCAAATCTTGACCAAAAAAGAACAAAAAATGAACTATCAGGCTACATGACTTCAAAGTACACCACAAAGCTATCATTATCCAAACAGCATTATACTTATGTTATAACAGACACAAAGACAAAGGAATACAAAAAAGAGCCTAGAAGTAAAACCTTATGCCCACAGCCAGCTGGTATTTGTTAAGGGTGCTAAGAACATGCATTGAACAAAGGACAGCCTTTACAATACACAGCGCTGGTAAATTGGATGTCCACATGCTGAAGAATAAAACTAGACCCTTGTCTCTCACCATACACAAAAATCAGCCCAAAATGAATCAAAGAATTAATATAAGATCTGAAACTATAAAACTACTAAAAGAACACACGGGGAAATGCTTCAGGAATGTGGAATGATCAAGGATTTCTTTTGGATAAAACTCCAAGTCATAGGAAACAAAAGCAAAAATAAACAAATGTTATGACATCAAACTAAAAAGCTGCTGCACAGCAAAGGAAACAATCAATAGAGTGAAGGAAAAACCTGCAAAACAAGAGAACATAACATCTGACAAGAGGTTAATGTCCAGCATATACAAGGAACTCAGACAACTAGTAGCAAATGATAACAATCTGATTTTAAAACAGGCAATAGACATTTCCCAAAAAAGACATACAAACGACAAACAGGTACATGAAAAAATGCTTAATATCATTGCTAATTGTTAGGAATATGCAAATCAAAGCCACAATGAGATTTCAACTCCAATTAGAATGACTACTATCAAAAAAGACAAAAGACAAGTGCTATGAAGAAAGAGGACTCCTTAAATACTTTTGGTAGGAATGTAAATTAGCACAGTCATTATGGAAAACTATGGAAATTCCTCAGAAAACTAAAAATAGAACTACCATGGGACCCCACAATCCCACTTCTGGGCATATATCCAATGGTAAGGAAATCAGCCTGTTATGAAACGTCTGCTCTCCTGCGATTATTACAGTACTATTCACAACAGCCAAGAAATGGAAAGAATCCAAGTGTCTATCCATTGAATAATAAAGAAAATGTGGTACACATACACAAAGAAACACCCTTCGGCCACAAATCCTGTCATTTGCTACAACCTGGATGGAATCAGAGGACCCTGTGTTAACAGAAATAAGCCAGGAGCAGAACAACAAATACCAAATGATCTCACTTATATGTGGAATCTAAAAAAAAAAAAAAACATTTCTTACAAAAGTTGAGAGAACAATGGTCATTAAGAGAAGCTGGGTAGCGCCAGGGATTTAGCTTAGTGGTTCCACCGCCTGCCTCACAAACGAAAGGTCCCGAGTTTGATCCTGGGTACCAAAAAAAAGGGAAGAGAAGCTGGGGAGAGTGGGGGAGCAGAGGGATGGGGGAAGGTTTATCAATAAATACTAGGTTACAGGTAGATATGAAAAATAAGTTTTGGTGTGCTATTGCATCAGAGCTACCATCTAGCAAGATGGAAGACAATGATAATGCACTGTGTATATCAAAAAAGTGAAAAAAATAATGTTTTTATCACAAAGAAATGATAAATGCTTGAGTGGATAAATGTATTTACCCAGATTTGAGCATTACACACTGTGTTATTAAACCTAACCTCCTGAGAACAACAGATATGAGAAACAAAAGGGCTTCCTGAGCTGTTATGGAGACCAGTCAGAAATGAACCAGGTTCAGGAGGGATAGGTTCCCCAGGCCCCAGCATCGGGGCTGGAGAGCAATTAGAAAACATACATGGGACCCAAGCCAAGGGCGTTGTTCGTTACCATCAGGGAAGGAAAACACTGCAACCTATATCAGCCACAGGGAAGAAGGGTGGGGTGGCACCATACTGGGGAAGTTGGGGGAGGTAGGAGGTCCATAAAGTGTGGTGATTGTTGTTTCTGGGCTCAGGGGTGTTAACAGTTCCAAAAGTTCATAGGTATCTAGGGTGCAGGACCCTGCTGGTCAGCGGTGACGGGATTTTAGTTAAGGTTTTAACATATACTCAAGAAGGTGAAATGTCTTTCTGTTCTTTTCAGCCCATGACTTATTACTGACGAACCTCTCCTGTTACCAGTATGAACCCCCAAATTACTGGATAGCTCGTTTTCCTGCCAACTTTGCTGCCTGCTTGCAAGTTGAAGCCTAAATGCAGATAATCACAAGCTCCTGGCTCCCCAATACAGAGTTCCCATATTTCTCAGCTTGATCCGGTGGGCACACCATGCAGACACTCCAGATGGCCCTGGCTCATTACAGTCTCATTATGACCATGAAAATATGCCCTCCAGCCCCATGACAGATACAGTTATGTCCAAATCAGGGAGGAAAAGAGGTGCCACCCTGGATCTTGGAAATCACCTTTCCTTCACATGAAGAGGTGAGGACACTGTACACAGCACACACCCCATAATCCAGTCCCGGGAAAAACCCAGACTCCTGGGAGAAGATGACTTTAGAGGACGAACTCCCCTTTTCCTTTCTTTGGCCATTCAACAAAATTTTCTGCCTGCTCCAACAAATTGTACTGAGTAGGAAATGGTACTGAGTAGGAAAAGAGCCAGCAGGGTTGATAACACTTCTGCATCTCTTCCTTTCCATCTTCTGGCTGTTGGAACATCTCAGTTTTTCTCTTACCAGGGTACATGTATCAAAGCATTATACTTTCTCATATCCAGTTTTAAAAATCTAAACATAGCAAAGAACAACAAAAGTAAGCACAACTATTATGACTCACAATTCTGGCAGCTGGAGGGTCCAAGAGGTGATGGCACCAGAGTCCCCTGGCTACATCCCAAAATGGCTGAGCAAAGGAGAGTGGAGGCCAGCACAGGAGGGCCAGGCGCGTGGGGCTCGCTCTCTGACAACCGCCTGCACCTGCCCAACCCCTCCACGAGGCAGCAGGAATCCCCAGAGGGTGGAGCAAGGTGGGCTCTTTGCCTTCCACACGCCTCACCTGGGAAAGGCTCAGCACCTCCACACCACACTTCCGGCCAAGAACTTCCCGCTTTTTCCTTTGGGGACAAGCCATAACCAACCATGGCAAGGCTCCTTCTCCCTCTCTGGCCCCAGGACTCCGCTCCCGGCCCAGGGACATCTGCAGATGAATAAAGTAGGAAGAAAATAGGTTTAGCTGATATACTGCGCAGGCGCGTTGGGAGAATGACTGACATCTAGGGCTTAGAGCGTCTTTGGTGTGGAAGGCCCTCTTCGGAGCACGTCGTGTCATTTGGCCAATCCCCACTCCTCTAACAGACAGGGGTTATCTTCATTTTCCAGATGGGGAAACTGAGGTATAGAGGGTTCGGAGACTTGTGTTTGCTTTTCCAGTGGCTCCAACTGTCTAGAACTCCAAGTTCCATCACGGTTGGGCTGACGGACTGGGCGGGACATGTTTTGGTCCTTGTCAACTGCTTTCCTTCCAGGTGTCATCGCCTGCAAACCACCACCTCCTATTCACCCAGCGCTGGCCCCACGCCCTGTGGGAGCGTTAGGTTTGGGCTCTGAGTCCTGGGAGAGGGGCCTCTGCTTTGGGATCCTCTCCTTCTCTGCATCCTTCAAGGCTCGGGGACCGGGGTGGGGGCAGATGTCCCCTCCATTAGGAGTTGCCCTGGCCTGCCTCATTCGGCAGGCCCCCTTCACCGACCCAGGGCTCCATAAGACAGTCACACAGTGGGCAGCCCTCGGGGATGGGAGTCCCTAAAACCCTCACCCCATCTTCCGCCGGTCCCCAGGCCACAGTCCTCCAAAGGGCACAGCACGTCCGCTAGAGCTGTGTCCCACAGCCCCACAGCCAGCAAGCCCTCCCCTGCCATCTCCCTGACCCACAGAGAAACCAGGAGGCCACCCTTGGCCTTTTGCCACCTGACCATCCCGTGCCCTCTGCTCCTTTTCCGTCCCTCCACACCAATGGGACGATGCTTTCCACGGGGCCCGGGGGCCAGGGGTGCCCCACGTTCACAAGGATTCTCTCGGGGTAAGAGAATGTTTCTCTTTCCTCACCGGTGGGGAGAAGAAGAGTTTTAAGAGCTCCTTTCCTGGATTCTGCACTTCCCCAAATCACAGCCCACCCAACCGTCCTCTTATATCACCAGGATGGGGTGTGAGAGGCTGTCCTCAAGAGAGCCCGTTCTGCAGCTGGCCCTCAGCAAAGCCGGTGCAGGCGTGTCTGCCCCAGGCAGACTGCTGCCCCCTGTGGGTCATCTGCCCCCGTGAAAGAGGTTGCCCCCCCGGGAGGCAGCACCTCCTGCTTTTACCTCTCAGCTTGGATCTTAGCTGAAATGGCAGACACAGGAAAAATCCCCTCAGCCCTTCCGATGTACACATAGCCGCTTCATTTTAGTCTTTCTTCTCGAATTTTCACGTCAACCACGGTCTTCAGAGTTGCTGAAACCCCCCACCCCACCCCGCCCAGGCTCATTCTGCACCTGCAAGTAGTGTCTCTTTTGTGAGGACTGTGAGCGTAATTACACAACAGGCTGTCAGCATTCGATGGCTCATGAAGAGACCTGGGCAGTGCTGGCCACTGTGGCACCAAAACAGTCACGCCAAGTCGGGTGTGGCAGTGCACACCTGTAATTCCAGCAGTCCTGGAGGCTGAGGCAGGACGATCACAAATTTGAGACGAGCCTGGGCAACTTGGCAACTTAACAAGACTCTGTCTCAAAAAATACTTTTACGTGGAGGTGGAGGGTGGGGAATGTAGCTCAGTGCAAAGGCCCTGCATTCAAGCCCTGGCACCAGAAGAAAAAAAATGCAGATATGCCATGTCTCCTGGACCTAGCAGGTCCAGGTCCACAAAAGCTCCCCAGAATTTCCAGGCCCTCAGAGTATACAACCATGAACCACAACTTAAAAAGTCCCAGACACAGCAAGCATTTGTGTTGCTTAGCTCAGGTGACCCCAGATCACCTGAATACCCAACCTGACTTACATAGCATTATAAATGGTAGTATGCTGAATTTTACCCCACAAGGCAGATTTACGCTCCTGGTTAAAAAAAAAATCTGGAATATCAATGCATGATTTTAAAGTTAAAAACATGACTCTCATGCAAATCTAGAAAGCACCTCTATCAAAGCTTTATTAACTCATTAATGACAAAACAGGTAAGATCCAAAAGCTGATCCAAAAAGCATTCAGGAAACTAAGTATTTACAGGCATTTAAAATGGAGTATTAGAATAAAAGTGCAAGATTAGTTGCTTAATGTCCTTTAAGGGAACAGCTACAACCTTTAGGGTTATTTTTTCTTCTAAAATAGTTATATCTCTGGTTGGGGGTGAAGGGTGAGCAGTTGCATGGCACTGTGCAGAAAAATAAAGCAGAGAAAAAAGAACTAAAAGTAGGAACTCAAACATGTATGTGTCACCCATGTTCCTAATGGCACACAGGACACAACCTGAGAGTTCCTCAGAGGATAAATGGATAAACAAAAGGTAATGTACACATGGCAGAGCATATTATTCAGCCTTAAAAAGAAAGTCAGTCCTGATACATGCTACAACACAGAGGAACCTTATGCTAAGACCTTATGCTGCGTGAATGAGCCAGGCACAGAAAGACAAATACTCTGACGACTGTGGCTGCTAAGGTACCCAGAGTTCTCAGATTTATAGAGGCAGAAAATTGAATGGTTGTTGCCAGGGGCCGAGGGGAGGAAGGAATGGGAAGTTGTTATTTAATAGGTACAGAGTTTCCAGCTTTGCAAGATTAAAAGAGCGCTGAAGATTCGTTGCACACCAGTGTGAATGCATTTTACACTAACCCATTCCCTTTGAAATAGCTAAGGCAGGTTTGGGGATGTAGCTTGGTGGTAGAGAACCTGCCTAGCATGAGTGAGGCCCTTAGTTCGATTCCCAGCACCACAAAGGAAGCTAAGGTACAAAATTTTTATGTTATACTTATTTCAGTATAATTTTAACTTTTTAGTGGTTAAATGGTAAATTTTATGTTATAGTGTCTTTTGCCACAATTAAAAAAAAATTAAACAAAGCATGAAATGAATTTGGTGGCAGCTATTTTATGTAGGTTGGTCAGAAAGGGTGGTACTAAGAAGTGAGGGATGGAGGGGCAGGGTGGCACATGCCTGTGATTCCAGCTACAGGGGAGGCTGAGGGAGGAGAATTGCAAATTCGAGGCCAGTCTGTGTACCTTAGTGAGACCCTACCTCAAAAACTAAAAAGGGCTGGGTGTCACTCAGTACAAAGGCCCTTGGTTCAATCCCCACTGGGGGGGGGAGGGAGGGCCCTGAGGCCAGCCCTTACTTCTGGGTAATGCTTGGAGGAGCACAAGGAAGCCGTCGAGTACCTGGAGATGAGCTTCGCAGACAGACGTGGGTGGTCATGAGAACTGCAGTGTCACACCCTGATTGCTTCCGCACAAATCCACCCACTTTCAACACACCAGCTTACCTTCTTTTGGGCTCTCCCGAGTAAAACATCCCTTCCCTCAGAAACCAAAAGCTGGATTTAGCGCCCTCTGCTGGTGCAATATAAGAACGGCCCCTTTCAACTAATGAAGGGTCTCCTAGCAACCCATCCAGGTCTGTATTTCCAGACAAGGAAACTAGAGTCCGTCACAAACAGGAATTGCTTGAGGCCGCAGAGAGTGGGCTGACGGACTGTCACTCCCGACTCACAGGCTAATGACCCTGCAATCCCGGCTGCGCACAGACAGCAGCAGGGGGATGTCTTATCTTCCTACTGGCTGGAGACTGAGGCAATCTCGGGCACAGTGCAGTTCGCCAGCTACTTTACCTGCACTGCCTCTTTCCCCTCCTCAGTAGTTTCTCATGGGCGGGGACCAAGTCTTCCTTCGTTTTCCAGAGCCATAGATAGGAGTAGCTTTGATACTTGTTCTCATCGTGTGGTCCTGGGGAAGTTACTCAGCTACTTAGAGCCGTTTCTTCAGTGTCCTGACCTTCGCAGGTGTGTCCCTGAAGTTTACACATGCTAAGATGGAAGGTGTAGAACTGTCCCGGAGGGGAAGCATCGGGGAAATTTTCTCTGAGAAGGATAGGTCTCTGCAGGGTTTTGAAGGTACTGTCGGAGTTTCCCAGGTCGTGCGATTGAGGACAGTTTTCCATGCAGAAGTGTAGAGGCCTGGAACAACTTGATGAGGGCTAATTCTCAAGTCGATGTAAAAACTAGGGCGCTGATTTCTAGAATTCTTTCTCTTCTAAATTAGGGCTGGCCGCAAGAGAAGTCTTGAGTGAGCTGAGGAAGAAATGAAGCATCAGCCACGTGCACCGCAGGTCCGCGCCCTCGCAGCTCACACAGGGGCCGCTGGCCTGCGGGTGTCCACGGCGGCCAGCGGCTCCTCCAGGGCTCCTTCCGCGGCCGGGGCCCACCAGGTGCGTGAGCAGCAGGCGCCCCCTGCAGGTGCCCTTAGCGGAACCTGTCCTCACCACAGCCTGCGGACCCGGACGCGGGGCCCCAGCCTCCCCCAGGCTCTCTCCCTCCGCGGCTCCACCCCGCCGGGCACGCCCAGCCCCGCAGCGAGCGCCTTACGGCGCCCACAGCCAGGGGACAGCCAGGCCACAGCTCAGTCTGGGCCTCATCGCAAAATGCTTTGGAAAACCTGCTCCGTGGCCTCAAATCTGGTTTCCCTTGGACACCTCTAAGTTGCCTCCCACTCTCGAGTTTTGTGAGACAAAGTCATTCTTTGTGTTACAGAGTCTGCAAATGCAAGAACTTCCCACGTCCAGTTGGCTCTCAAGAACCGCGATGCTTGGAAAAGGATTCCAGCCCCTACAGATGAGTCCCCGGGGCTGTGGGGCGGGGCAGGACCCTGTCCTTCACCCCGCCCGTCCTAGGCACCGCTGAGTCCTTGCATCAGGTGGCCACATCACCCTCATTTTGCCGGGTAAGGAAGCTGAGACTCAGCATCTCGGGAGGAGACTTGGCCCGACCATGCAAAGCTGCCAAGTAGAGGGGCCCACACTTGAATTCAGGGGTCTGCACCTGAGGGTGAGACTGCATTTCCGGTCCTAAGGGAAGCCCACAGGAAAGGCTTCCCTTCACAACAGAAAGCCGGAAGGAAATGAACTTAGCTCCTGGGGCAGTGCCGCAGAGAGACTTCATCCCTACAGCACCACATCCGGGCTTTCTCTGCCCTCCAGGACGGGCTCTGTGCGCCTCACCTGTCAGAACAAACCCTGGACCCACCATGGGGGAGGACTTTGGTTTGTCACAGCTGCTTAAGAGTGAACACAGCACGTGATTGCTCCTTGGAGGCCTGGCCCTGGGACAGGTGTGCGCTTCAGCCACAGGATATCCTCCCTGTAGCCGCTGTGGTTCAGCAGCCAAAATCAGTACTTACGTTTTCAGGAATCGTCTTGTTGAAGAGTCATTATTAAAAATCAAATCAAAACATTTTTTAATCATATTAAAAACAAAGGTAATAAAACATCAAAGCCCATCGCAGCCTAGACAATTCTCTGTTAGTCCTGGCTCTTTTGGGACGGGTACCTATTGCCTTTCTGAAGCCATTACATGTGAGCAGCATAAGAATTTGAGGAAGGGGAGGGACTGGCAGATGAGCAGCCATCTGGGATCAGGGAACAAGGAACAAGGTGCGTTTGGTCATGGGGACCACAGTCACCCAAGCTTGTCAGAAAAGGTACAGTAAGACTGCAGGCTCCATGAAGGCCTTCATTTCATTACTTTCACTGCAGAAGAGCTCTGGATGATGGCACCATCCGCCTGTGGTGTCACAGTGCAGCCCGTCACCTGCTGGGCACGGCAGGGTGCCAGCCTAGGCCCAGAGGGAGGATGCAGGGGTCCTGGGGATTGCTCTGTGGGCATCAGGTAGGATTATTTTAGGCTATTCTTGGTGGTCCACATCAAGTCTGGTAGAACCCCTAAGAATACTGGGAGTGGTCCTGGTGGCCTAGCGGCCATGGGCCAGCTCTGATCACTGGGCTAATGTGTGATACTCTACAGCCACCTGGTGGGCCACCGGGGAATACAGCAATAGCTTAATAGCCCCTGATTCTGGCGCTGGAGGGAAATGAGCCTAACACCCAGCAGAATCCAGATGCATTCCCCTGGGGTTGCTTAGGGTCTGTGTTATCCTCATTTATCTTTAGCAATAGAGAAGAGTTACCTGGTGTCTTATTGGCTTATTTATCTATAGCCGGTGAGAAAGGGCTGAGGAAGGAAACCTCTCCTTTCTTTGACCCTAAATGACCTCCATAAGTAGAACAATTAGCCAGAGGGGACATCAGGGCCCAGAGACCTGAATGTCCATCAACCCTGCCCCACATTTTAAAATGCCCCCCCACCAGAACAGTGGCTCTCACTGGGTTCTGGGGCTCCCAGTATGGTCTGGGACACCCAGGACTCCATTCTGCCCCAGAAAGACAGAGCACAGGCCTGAGTGGCACCTGGAGCCACCTTCTCCATGGATGGGGGGGTGATGCCCAGAAGCCCCCCAAGGGAAAAGGGTCTGTGCACCCACAGGCCCGTGCCTCCCCAGTCAGAACCAGACTCGCAGCTGTTGTGGGAGCACACTGGGCTGTGGCCACAGGGCCAAGGCCAGCGGCTGCCGTGAGAGCAGCATGCAGCCACATGTGTGTGAGCCGGTGCTGTCCTCATACCTGGCAGCCAGGGACTACGCTGCACCAGCAAGACCACCAGCCCTAGGAACCCCTCTTCCTTCCTGCCAGAATCCCCACCCTGGTTCCTCACCACCACCACCTCCAGTCTCTAGCCATAAGTAGAGTTGTTCCCTGAAACAAAGACATCAACTAACAAATAAACAGACAATGTGGAAAGGGAATTCTTTAAAATGGAATCTAATGTTAGATGTACCAAGAAAGCTTCCTATTGAAAGATGTCTAACCATTTCACACCTTTTAAAAAGTAATGGTAGATCTGAAGGTCTTTTGGTGGTACATAGAATGTTTGGGTCCTTTTTACTTAGATTATGCCCTTTCGGGGAGTTAATAAGCATCTACTTGGTGTTAAATCTGTGCCAGAAGCTGGGGAGAAGACAGTAAACAAAACAAAACACTCCCAGCAATTCTGTAATTTATTCTCTAATGGAGGAAACAAAAAAATCAAATAAAATACACAGTCCTATTAAGTCCCGGTGTATGCTACAGAGAAAAGGTAAGCGGGTGAAGGACAGAAGTTCCAGGGGGCTGCAGCTTGGGAGAGGAGCAGCAGAGAAGGGAACACCGAGTGGAGACTTGATGAGATTTGTGTTTTTGTTTGCTTGTTTATCTGTTTTAGGAGTGAGATGGGAACTACTAGAGAGCGTTGAACAGAGGAGGAAGAACATGATGCAGCCCTTTTTTTTTTTTTTTTTTGGTACGGGGGATTGAACTCGTGTCCTTGGGCTTGCACAGCAGGCAGTGAAACCACTGAGCTAAATCCCCGGCCCTGTGAAGCCCATTTTTAACAAGATTTCTCTTGCTGCAGCCCTGAGGACTGAAGGGGTGATGCTTGGGTACCTTGACTCTCACCTCTCTTTCTCCCACATGCAGTCAGAGATATGGTCTGCTCATTCTGCTTCCAAAATATTTAGTCTCCTGCTTTAAACAAGGCCCTTGAAAAGGACCTTTCCCAATCATATTTGGTAGATCCTTATTTTCAATCAAGTGTAAATTTTTATTATGATCCAAATTTTCTGATTTCAAAATTAATGCATATTCAGGTAAAAGTTTTAAAAAAAAATCTAGAGAAGTTGAAACAGGCAACTTCACTGTTCCTGGATACAGACTGTTCTCCAAATACAGCTTTTTCCATCTCTGTGGCTCTTTCTTGGTCCTTACCACCTTTCTGCTGTGGGAATCCAGCCCCGTCTCTGTGCCCACCCCCAGATGCCACCACCACCACCCTGCAATGCCTCCAGCCCTTTTTGTAGTGTATTAATCCACAATGCACCCATTCTCTGCTGCTCTCCCTGCTGTTCCGGGACTGCCATGTGAGAAAAGAAGGCACAGGTGTTTAATATAAGTGACTCGGGAGCCTAGAGAAATAAAACCCCAAAGAAATGGAATCCAAAGAAACAGACATTCAGAGGTGGGACTGGACAAAGAGGGTGACAAGACTGAGGGATCTTCCCTGGCCGGTTTGTTCAGGTTCTTCTCGATGTCCCTGTGTCAGCAGAGACAGAGACATTCTGTTCCTCTCAGCAGAGGGAGGGCACCTCTGAACTGAAGGCTTTGTGGCCTGCATTAGGGGAGAAGGACGAGGGGAAGGCAAGAGTGAGCTTCTTGTTTCTAAGGTTTTCTCAAAGGCCAGGGTGTCTATTTTGGGATAGTGTATCCTGAGCCCCATCAATGTCCATACATTTTTTTATATTCCTCCTTTCAAAAGGTGCAGTTTACCTCGGCATGGAGAAATACACCTTTAATTCTAGCACTCAGAAGGCTGAGGCAGGAGGATTTCCAAGTTCAAGGTCAACCTTGAACTATACGGTGACTATATATTGACTATAGGGAACTATATAGTGAGACCCTGTCTCAAAAACTCAGGGGTGGGGATAAAAGGTGTAGTAGGTCAACTCTGCTTATGATGGACCATACTTCGTTCTATTTTTAACAAATAGAAATTGTGCCATGTTCTTTCTAAGACATGTTACAAGAAGATGTGGCTTCTGTCTTGAGTGGGCCATTGTCTCCCACCCTAGGCAAGCTGCCATGGAGCCGCCCCATGGAGGGCCCTAATGGTAAGAAACTGAAGTCTCCAGCAGGCATCCAAGGGAGAACTGAGTCCCATCCACAAACACGAGTAGGTGTAGAAGATCTTTAAGCCCCCACTGACCTTAACATAGTTCAGCCCCATCTGACCACTTGACAAACAACCTCAGGAGAAACCTTGAGCCAGAACCACTCAGCTAAGCCACCCTTGGATTTCCAACCCTCAGAGCCTATAGCACAATGTTTGTTTGTGGATCATTTGTTACCCAGCACTAGGTACCTACCATACCCACCTTGCTTGGTCCAATTCCCCCCAGAAAGTAATGCTGCACTGCTAGTTCTCACCTTCTCAGGTGGCTTTCTCTAGTAGAAGTTTCTTCACTCCATGACTGTACAGGAGGATGTGAGGAGCAGGGAGGCCAGTCCTTTCTGAGCATAACAGTGTGGTATGCAAAGTTAAAACACTGTGGGCCTCAGGTGGACACTAGGCTGCATGGAAGCTTGCTGTCTTTGTCCATTTTCTGCTGGTATTACTGAATTCCCAAAACTAGGGAAATTATAAAAAATCAAGGTTTATTCAGCTCATGGTTCTGGAGGCCCAAGGTCAAGGAGCCATAAAGGCCTTTGTGGTGGTGGAGACTCTCTTCAGTGTCCCAAGACAGCACAGGTCCCTCTGCCTCCTCTTATAAAACCGTCAGTGCCATTACAGGAGGCCCACCCTGGAGACCTCATTTGAAATACTACAGATTCCATTTCCACCCTATTAGTACCTCACAATGAGGATTCCATTTCCATGACTTTTGGTGGAGATATTCAAACCAAAGCACTCATTTAGCAATGGTGTGATCTGAAGCACACTATTTAACATTCTGAAAATCCTAATTGTTTACAAAGGGTGATAGTACAACAATCAGGGATGTGGCCAATATTACCGCGCTAAATTCTGCCAAGCACCTGGCACAAGATATGAACACCATTAGTTTATTTTCTTTCCACTTCCTTCTTAGTGTCAGGCTCTGTCCTTACTGCTGTCAGTCTCAACAATCCCAACCACTTACCAAACACTAAGCTGTAAATTCCCAAGCCGTGGGTTAATTTTGCAAAAGTGGATAGTATAAGTAAGGCCAGTGGAAGTAAGGAGCCATCATACTTGAATTTCATTAGCTTCACAGTGGTAAGAAGAGGTCTCCTTTTCCAGGCTCCTATATCTAGTTATGTATTCCTGATTTTGCATTCTTTTTCTCCAAGCGGCATCCCTAATCACACTGAAAAGATATCAGCTTTGATGGATGCAATTCAAGGAATGATAAGAAAATCCACTGCACTAAACACTTTATCAACAACAATAAAATTAAATTTCCAACTCAATATTACAAAATAATTGAGAAAGAAAACCAAAAGAAAGCACAAAAAAGGAGACATTAACAAAAAAGACAACAGAGAAGCAGCAGCAGTACATGTAGTTAAGAAATAAAATCCTAGTTTAAAAACACAAATATACATTAAACAAATCATTAGATGATCAAGAAAAATAGGAGAAATCAAAATATACAAAACAAAAAACAGTAAGAAGAAAATAACTTGTAACACAAGAAAAAATTCTAAATTTCTAATTTCTAATTTCTCAATTCTGAGAGAATAGAGGCTTCTACACAAATGAATTTTAAAAGCCAGGTGAAATATTTCTGAGGAAAATAAAAATTACTGAAATTGCCTTTCCATTAGAGTTAGAAAGTTCAAACAGACCAATTTCCACAAAAGAAAT